GTAGCACAAACAGAATGAAAGTAAGTCGTTGCAGTCCTATTTAAAGGATTTTGGAATAGTATGTCAAGCTAATGTACTCAATCTATGTAAAAATAACTAAAAATCATATTTTAAAACAAATCGGTTTTTATTGAGGTTTAAATTATTCATAAAATTACATTAGTTTACTTATAAAAAGCCTATTTAGTTACTTAGCATTTCCGCGTTTTAGATGAAACTATTTAATACGGAATTTCATAATTTTATTTCACAAATATTACTTTTAACATTCTACCCCTGGCGTTCTCACAAAAGAATGCGAAAGGCGAAATAACTGGAATTATCCTCTTTGCCGACATCGTTGTCTATAGTAGAGGAAAATGTTTAACTTGTATAAGGTAAACGAAAAAAAATTAAGAAAATATATTAGTGCTTTTTCGTTTTTATATTAACTTAGTACAAAAAACAGAATTTTTGGTTTGATGTTTTATGTTGATTTAAATATCTGAATTACAAAAAAAACAATATCTACATAACTTATTTTTAACGAATCCACAGTAGATTTTTTTTTACACTTAAGAATAATAGTTGTTTTAGAATAATTATAATTAAATATGTATGTTGGTGCAATGTCACTATTTAGTTGACTGAAAATAAAAGTTAAGAGTCAGAGTAAGAGTTAGTTACTGTCACTACGGAAGGCAATGATAATGATGAAGAGAATGGCGTCAGCCACTCTGACGTCATCATTTTAAAACACCATGGAACCAGCCTGCTCTGTCATGTATTATCAATAATTTTAATGTAGCTCCAATAAAACCTCATTCATATTATAAATGTATGTACACATTACCTTGAAAAGACAGAGGATACTTCGCCAATTTAAGCACCAATGGATTAAGTTGACCTTTGACTCGTGTAACGAAGGGACAACATTAATTGAAGACCACTTTAAAATATATCGTTTGTTTTTGTTCGAATGAGATTTCATTGAATATATTGGTTGAACTAATTTTGTAAAGTTCACCATTTTTTGTATCATCAAATAGGTAAATTCTGAGACAATGAAAAACCTTTGCAGACGGTAATTCATTTTTGCAATATATCTATGAAAACAAAACTAATAAATGCTATACAGATAGATGGCTTTAATATAACTTTGTACTCAGCGTATATAATAATTAATTTCATGTGCATTCGATTCAATGAAAACAATACATTTTAATTATTGATACTTTTTCGTATACCTTAGTTATAGCGTTTTATTAATTTTCAACCGGTAACTTATCGAAGTACTCGGGATTGTATTGATGGTGATCAAAAGAGATACTGCTTGACATGACATGCCATCGCTATCAGCACAATCCGAACAATTGCATAAGTACTACATTTGAAGAGCCACCAGTGGTCGTCACACCATGAGGTCGTCAAGTTTGTGAATCCAATTACGCTATATTTCAATAATGTTGGAATTAAAGTTTGAGATAGTAGCGTATTAATAAACTCATTGCGTCGTTAGTTTTGAAGTTTCTTATCAACATTTAAATAGACTACATTTTGTATTTACCTACACGATACTCAATAATACAAATTTAATAGACCTGCTTTTATTTTAAAGTAACAAGAATTTTATATTCAGGTAGTGATTGATACATATAGTAACATATCCAGATTAGTTTAACTGAAAAATGAATATAATGAATGAGGTTTAATTAACTTAAATTAACTCCGAAGCTACTCGTCCACGAATCCTGGCGAAATAACTGCGGAAGTTTCTGCGAAATCGGGCACAGCCTTCATTGCGTTCGATGTGGCGATGTTTATCTAATTCAATATTGATCTCCGAAAATTTCGAACCTTGCGGAAAATCTAATGTGTCGAGATATTTCTTATTAGAAAGTAGTTTAATATTAATAATTTATATTTATCTATACTTCTATACTAATATTATAAAGAGGAAAGATTTGTTAGTTTGTTTGTATTGAATTAGCTCCGAAACTACTGAACCGATTTGAAAAATTATTTCACTGTTTGGAAGCTACACTATTCCCGAGTGACATAGACTATAATAATCTTTTTTGATGCCGCATTAAGTGTTCTTTTATTTAAAAGAAATAAAACAACGTCAAATATCGTTGAGATTTTTGTTAAAGACCCGAGCGGAGCCGGAGCGAGCCGCTTGTTATTTATTAACATAGACTTAAACAAAATATATTTTTATATCTTTACCTGATGCGTATTGGAATGATTCCATATCGTTCAATTGTAAATTTACGAATAGTCAATCGAGTAAGCGCTGATCACACAAAACCATTCGACGAATTACAGTGTGAGTTTCGTGTTCAAAATTGTCATTTTTTATTGCTTAGATGGGATGACGAGCTCACAGCGCACCTGTCTCAAGTATAGTTACAACGGCTGCCCCACCCTTCAAACCGAAACGCATTACTGCTTCACGGCAGAAATAGGCAGGGTGGTGGTCTCAAGAGGTCCTACCACCAGTAGATATTTTCCAGCCCTATATTTTCGAAATGTTTAGGTATAGAACACGGAGACATTTTACAAAATGTGCTTATCGTTCCGTGACGTGGCTCCCCCTGCATCCTGTACACTCGAGCATTCAACAGTACATAGTATCGATAATACAGTAAGTTCAGTTTCTGTACAGTTCTGAGTTCTTCTCGATTCTTAGCTATCAATTACCTACAGATTCTGAATTGCTATGCATTAACCAGTAATCATACATTTAAATGATTGTAAACAAATTCTTTATACAATCACCTATCTTATATCAACACGACTTAGCTTGAACAACGACGCCTTGTCCACGAGTAGATTGTACTCTGTGCCCAAACAATTCTAGTGGATATTACAGTATCAATGGAGCTGCGGTTTCCTCACAAACCTGTCGATTTAGATAAGTCGTTTCTATCAAACGGGTTCCTTGAACAGGTCCTATTCAGCTAGTTATCGACCCGGTTCGATACGTATTGGGAATAAGTAGGCTTAAGCTCTCGTTTTGCGTATCGGGCAATTTCAATATTTAATTGGATGTTTTGACGTCAGATCGAAGAGGAAGTCTGAAAGTAGCGCTAGTTACATCTCTATACATAAAAATGAACTGCTGTTCGTTAGTCTCGCTAAAAGTCGAGAACGGCTGGACCGATTTGGCTAATTTTGGTCTTGAATTATTTGTGGAAGTCCAGGGAAGGTTTAAAATATAAAAATGCTCGGAATTAAATAAAAATGACAATTTTGTTTTTCCTTTGACGTGTCCCCCGTCGGACGGATTCCTTTTGTTTGTTTTAAGTTTGTATTATACAAAATTTTAGGTCTTTTATTTATCGATTGAGGCACTACGAAGTCTGCCGGGTCAGCAAGTATAAAATAAAGAGTTTGTAGGTTATCGCGGTATGGACATGTTATGTGAAGATGGGATGATCATGTGGCCAAAAATACTCTGGGTATGAAACAATGAAAACAACATCGAAATTATTAGTGAAGTACCTAATTATATTTTGTTTAGGAAAATTGAGTGCGTGATATCAATATCAAGCTATCCGATTTCAACATCTTAAGACTTATGATGTTTTTACGTTTGCTATATTTCTTTTTGTTATTTTAGCATTAACTTCACCGCCAAATAAAATTGAGCCTCTTTCTTTTCGTGTGCAATCACAATTAAATGCATCGTTATTATAAATAATGTATTCTAAAAGTCTAAGCTGTAGCTGTAGCTGCAGCTGTTAGTGTCGAAAATTTCGACCTTACATCACAAGATGTGTGGTGTTCACACGTGTTAGTGACTAGCGCTTAAAAAATTTGTACATTTAATTTCTCGCACACAAGTTCGGATGCATTCAAACATTAAAATTATAAATGCTATATTTGAAAGGTAACTAAATACTAAAATTTTCGGGATAGGGTTATTTATAGTACTGATTTATATGTAGTATTAGATCGATTATAATTAAATCCAAAAAATCGAAACGGCAAAAACGAGACCAAAAGCTTCACTAACCAACCAAAAATCGTTATAAAACCGGTTTTATCAAATGTTTTTTTTATTTATTTATTTTATTAGGCTCACAATACACATCACAAGCTAAAGATACATAAAAACACACAAATAAAAAGAAACAAAATCTGGCTTGCAACATAAGTTATGTGCGCACGACAAAACAAGACATTATTTATTGCATAGGATGTTAAGCGGTTACGGGAGCCCATAGACATCTACAACGTAAATGCCGCCACCCAGTCTTAGTTCAGTACAACGGCTGCCTCACCCTTCAAACCAAAACGCAGTACTGCTTCCGGGCAGAAATAGGCAGGATGATGCTACCTACCTGTGCGATGTGTATCTGTCTATTCAATGCTGAGGTACATGACAGTCAAATATTTAAATATAGCCCGTGTTACTGAAATAACTACGACGACGAATTCTAACGACAACTAAACATGGTACGCCCAAATCTGTTCAGGAATATAAAAGTTACGACGTAATACGAAATTTCACATATATATGTGGATGAACATGAAGCCTGAACATTGTACTCCTGGTTTGAGCAGACGAGTAAAAAAAACAGTGGCTACTACAAATAAATATTTGGAAAACTGTGCATAAAACAATTGTGTTATAGAGAGAGACTTTTTATATTTTATAATCTAAATATATATGTATATTATAATCGATAAGTGTGATGAATCGATATTTATTTTGACTTAAGTATTTAAGTATATGTCTTAATTTTATTTTTTATTGCATAGATGGCTGGATGAGCTCACAGCCCAAATGGTGTTAAGAGGTTACCGGAGCCCATAGGCATATACAACGCAAATGCCGCCACCCAACTTGAGATAAAAGTTCTAAGGTATCAGTATAGCTGCCAACGGCTGCCCCACCCTTCAAACCGAAACGCATTACTGCTTCACGGCTGAAATACGCAGAGTGGCGGTACCTATCCGCGCGGACTCACAAGTGGTTCTACCGCCAGTAACAATTGTTGTTAAATTTACAGCCAACGCAGTCGGTCCTATGACTCGGATGACCACGAGCGAGGTGCCTGCGAGTGGTGCGAGTATGCCCTCGTGATCACTCTGGCGACGGTGCTGCTCATTGGCGTCTCCGCTCTCACCATCTTCTGGGTGTTCTACTACCGCGGTGGATATGCCTGGGCCGACGACACCCCAGACAAGCAGTTCAACTTGCACCCGACTCTGATGGTGGCCGGTTTCGTTACGTTCTGCGGTTTCTGTAAGTTTCTATGACAGGTATTTTACAAAGCTTTTTTTTATTATTTTTCATTGCTTAGATCGGTGGACGAGCTCACAGCCCACCTGGTGTTAAGTGGTTATTGGAGCCCATAGACATCTACGACGTAAATGCGCCACCCACCTTGAGATATAATTTGAGATATAAGATACATGACGTCACGGATCACGTGGGGTTAAATGGTACCGAATGGTAGCGGTCTTCGAATTTGAATTCGAAGATTTTATTAAATTAAAATAAAAACATCTATTTTAAACAAAACGCACTTCCAACCAGCACACATCCCAAATACTAAAATATTTCCCAAAATTTGTAATTTTGCGGGCACGTCTTTATTCCTTCCTTCTCAGTCGTGTCACTCTTGATAGAGTGGTCGTGATCGTCATGTAGTGTTGGAAGGGGCAGACTTGATGCGTCTCACGATGTCGCGCCATCTCTCCTTGCTCGAGGCCATTCTACTGCACTCATTTAGGGGACCTCCCACTGCAGTTTTAATTTGGTCGGTCCACCGCATTGGTGGCCTCCCGCGCGGTCTTGTACCATCAACGCTTCCCTGTACAACATCAACTAACATCAATTCCTTCGTAGCAGAAGTGTCTCCATACACGCATTGGCTACGTATTTATTTAAGACGAAAATATACTATTATGTATAATATTCCGAATTATTGAATAGTTGCATCATTCGACACAAGTAAACCTCGTCTTAAAAGATCCTCAGTATAAAATGAAAATGTCGAAAACAGAACATCCGAAAAGCCGACTGAGCTTTGCAAAGAGTCACGTTCTGCGGTTTCCTTGTTATTTGTTACGGTTAAAGTTTGTTTAGTTTAGTTCGGCGGCAATTTCAATATTTCGTCTTTACGCATTAAAAGTGTACAATTTCCAAAAAATATTAGAAATTGAGTTAATATGCGGTTAATCATTTGGTATCACCAGTATTTTTCTCATAAATTCTGTCAAAAGAGCGTAGCTTAGTTTTAATTTTTTTTTTAGTTTACCTATATTTTGACTAGTATTAACAAAATTAATACATAATTTTATCTTACTTTAAAAGACAGATAATGTAACTGGTAAAAACTAAAAAATAAATGTTGCAAAGATGATTAATATTATAAATACCATATGTTAAACCTTTAAAACACTCTCCTGTAAAATTTAGTAAGTGTTGAGATTATACAGTTTTAATGCGAGAAGACGAGTTATACAGTATAAAAGATTTTTTTTAAACCTTAACTCTGCGAATACTCATCCAAAGAGATTTTACTAAAACATTTTTTTTTTAATCTTGCAGCCGTGCTCTTGTACCGTATCTGTCGATGCTTCCGGCGCATCTATGTCAAACTGCTGCACGCCATCTTCCACGCGTTAGCGTTCCCGTGCATCGTTATCGGCTTCCTGGCTGTCCTCGACTACCACAACAAGAAGGGCATCAACAACTTCTATTCGCTCCACAGCTGGATTGGCTTCGTCGCCATGGGACTGTTTGGATTACAGGTACAGCTCATCCATACTATCAGGAACCGCTGGGTTTCTCCTTTTTTATTGCTTAGTTGGGTGGACGAGCTCACAGCTCACCTGGTGTTAAGTGGTAACTGGAACCCATAGACTTCTACGACGTAAATGCGCCACCCACCTTGAGATATAAGTTCTAAGGTCTCAAGTATAGTTATAACAGCTGCTCCACCCTTCAAACCGAAATGCGTTACTGCAGAAATAGGCAGGGTGGTGGTACTTACCCGCGCGGACTTACAAGACCACCTACCACCAGTAATATACCCTAATCTGCAGTATTTTTACATTCTGCATAACGAACAGTTTGATGATCAGCTAAAACTCACAGAAGATGACATTCACACAAGCACAGATTAGTCAAAATTTTGTCTTATCTGTCTTCCAGTACGCAGTCGGCTTCTTCAGCTTCCTCCTACTGTTGATTTGCAATAAAGGCACCGCTGGATTCCGCGCTTCCTTGGTACCGATCCACGCCGCCTTTGGAATCCTGACCTTCGTACTCGGTGTCGCTGCATGTCTTACCGGACTCACTGAAAAGGCAATCTTTGCCCTCGGGTATGTAAAACGTTCTCACTTAAATCATTTCCTCTATGTTCGTTTACGTTATTCTAAATTCAAAATCGTCGTTGTCAAACCAAAATCTGCTATGTGCGCTTTTTGAGATTTTTACTTTTTGACCTTTTCGTATAGTTCAGAGCCCTATCTATCATATAAAAAAAAGGTTATGTGTTTACAGCTTTAATATTTATCTATAGCTTTCATTTGATATAGTTCTTAAAAATTCACCTTCATATATAAAATTTGATACGAAAATGTTTTTACTCGTTAATTCGATAGGCAGCGGCTTGGTTCTGCCTTTGGCATTGATGAAGTCCATAGGCGACGGTAACCACTCACTATAAGGTGGGCCGTGTGCTCGTCTGCCTACAAGGGCAATAAAATAAAAAAATCAAAATAGAGTTTTTGCACATAGCGAATTTTGGTTTGACAACTACGAAATACTACATCAAAACTTATTTGACATTTCATTTTTATAATTATATTTTGACTGTTATACGGGCATCCCTAGATTTTGAGTAATGTTTCAGGCTAGCATGTTTGCATGTAGTCGTCCTTGTAGCTTGCCTGTTTTTCATTTTTCTTTACATATCCATGTGTGTTTTACGTTTAGCTTGTGTATGTGAGTTGCTTGTGTATGCGTATTCGCAGTGCGGACCGATACAGCGGCTTGGTCGACGAGGGAATAATAATAAACGCGATCGGGGTCTCTATGGTTGCGATACTCGGCGTCGTCATGTACATCTTGTCGAGGGAAAAGTTCCGACCCGCAGAGGCACGGGAACGACTCACCAGGACCTCTGTGGATTTGTAGAATGGACCTAATAAGTAATTACGTTATATGTAAAATGCAGAGGATGTTTAATAAAAAAAAAAAACTTCAATGATTTTGGTTTTGGATAGAAAAAAAAAACAAAACTAGATTTGTGTCAATTTTGGTTGAAAAAACGAATAGAGTTAAAATCGTGTAGTTTAGCATATACTATAGTGCTGTAAAATTTAGTTATTTTTAACGAATCTATAGCTTTAGCTTATTATAGCAGGTTAGAGATTAATATAAAATCTACATTATTTTTTAAGTAGTGTTATTTGAATAGCATTTAAGTACGCATGTCAGAGGCTCACTTTGTTACATCTTGAGATTTAGATGAGGTTATTATTATACCTAAATAAAGCTATTTACTAGTTATAGATTTAAACTTAACGGAGAAACAAACGTTTTATGAACTGAACTGAAAGATATAACTTTAATCAGGTAGGTAAATTTATTTGCATCTAATTTCTATGGATTTAATTTGCGAGGCATGTTAGAACACTAAGAACCAACGAAACGAGAATTTGTGCCGTTTTTTTTATTGTTGTTGTTGAAATGTTTCGGTCTGTATCAGACCAAATATTTTAAAGTGGCATTGTGTTTTATTGCATCAAAAATAAATCGATGTTTGATGATTAGCGCTGTTCATTATTTCAATTTCTGCATAATTCGTTATGTAATACATAAGACATCGCTTGGTTGTATGTGCTGCTTCTGTTTGTTGCATTATCTTTGTACGTCAAGTCCTTTATTGTGGGTGTTTTCAATAAAATGATTAATTACAATTTGGATGTTATTGAACATTCTAATTGAAAGTCAAAATAAAACTCTACAACAGAAAAACAGTTAATTTCGTGTGTCACTCACTTTCGAGTTATAAAAAAACTTTAAAAATTATAATAATAAAAAAAGTTTTGATATAATAATATTCCGTATAGAAATGTAGGTAATTTTGATTTAATTTCTCTTTAACGTATATCTATCTACTCTTAGTATGCCTAAATCTAAAAGTATTAAACTAGATTAAACTTCACAAGTACTATACGATTTTTAATTAACTAATTTCGAAATTTAAATTCCCTATTAATACATATATTATGATTATGCATTATTTAAAGGCTTCTTTAACACCTACTAATTACACCACTATATAGCAGTTTCTTGTCGAGATATAAATCAATCAGTAAAATATATACAATACTGGTGGTAGGACCTCTTGTGAGTCCGCGCGGGTAGGTACCACCACCCTGCCTATTTCTGCCGTGAAGCAGTAACGCGTTTCGGTTTGAAGGGTGGGGCAGCCGTTTTAACTATACTTGAGACCTTAGAACTGATATCTCAAGGTGGGTGGCGCATTTACGTCGCAAATATCTAGGGGCTCCAGCAACCACTTAACACTAGGTGGGCTGTGAGCTCGTCCACTCACCTAAGCAATAAAAAAAAATTAGTATGGAATTAGATTTACTCGACAAGAAGCTGTGTGTTGGCGATTATTTCTAACAATTATCCGTGTAATCGGACACGCAGGAGCGAGCAGTACCCGCTTTTGGAACCTGAAGCGATCGTTATCAACGCTATCGGAATGACTGTGGTTGCTGTTGCTGTCGTTGTGCTTTACACTGTACGCGGCACTGGCGGCTACAGGCTCCGCAAGGTCGCCCAGCACCCGAGTTAAACAACCAACGACAGTGTACATACACTTGGAGACAAATTAATGATGTACTGCTTTTATCATATCGACGCTTGAAAGGCAAACGTGACGAAGCGACAATACGTGCACTTTACAGTAGACTAATTTAAAGTTGAAATACCTGAAAAAAATTCTAGCTCTAGCTGTAGGATTGAAATTATTTTAATAGACCTAGAAATATATATTTTTTTGCGCATCGAATATGGTTATTTTTATGTATAAAGCAGTTATTGTCCCTTAGTCACGTTAGCCTTTCAAGCGTCGAGATTTAATTTTAACGTGCCAACTTTACACTACCTACGCGAAAACTCGAAAAAATTAAAACGACATTATATTAAATTTCAAATCAATTATGAAGAGATTGTACTAACCGTACATAAATCGCTCAATTTTTTGCCCTAAAACTTCACAATGATCAATAATTTGTCTTCGAGCATATTTCGTTTAAAAAAATATATATCGATAAAGTTATGCTTGACGTTCTCAACACTAACGTCGACCGAACTAAATAAACACAGATACGACTAAATATTATTTACGTTTCCGTATTCAATGAAAGACGTCTAGTTTTATATTATTACAATCGTTGACTTGTTTCAATTATTATAACAAACAAAACGTGATTGTATGTATCGTTTAGCTCAAATTTGTTGATTAGGTGAATATTTTATTGGGAACTTGACATTATCATTAATAGGGTTGTGCATTGTTTCATTTTAAAATGTTTGAAATTCGAAATTGTGAGCTGATTCCGTCTTGAGTCGTAATCGATTTATTACTTGGATAACTAGGGTTGATAATCAAGAATTGAAATGAGTAAATAATAAGCTTAATAAAAATCCACAACTCATGAGTTAAGATGCTTGATAACAATATAAACATTTGGAATTTTAAATACATATTCAAGAAAATATAATGAGCCGAAAAATAAAATTATAAATAATAACCAATCAGTAGCAAATAAGTATTTCCGTGTCGTAGGTGGAAAAGGAAATATATTATCACAAAAGAGAATTAGTCTTTCACATAGGACACTGGAATTTTTGGGATTCATATTCGACTCTGTACTCACATTACCGTGGTGAACAAAGTTACGATTATAATAAATTCTATGCTACTATGTTAGCTAAAGTTATTATTGTCATAGTTATTCTTACAACAGTTTTCACCTTTAATATATTCTCAGTATTTCGGCAGTGTAAGCCTTGATTCCCGTGTAGACTACACGAAATAATAACGTTTATAATGTAGACAGCCTGTAAAGTATAAAATAAAACAAATTTTATGTATCGATTCAGAATTACAAATACTAATCAAAATACAGAAACTCGCAAAGTGAAAATCAAGAGGCCATAAAAATAACAAGACGATTATTTCATCAAGTCTAATATAGGTTTTTAAGTACCTATGTATTTAGATGTAACTTGTATATAATTTTTAACTAATTTAATGTAACGTGCGAGTGTTTGATAGTTGTAGTGCGTGGTGAAGTCGTAGTTTTAATCTTTAAATACATATTTAATCAGTATGAACACCGGTATATTATAACATGTTATGAAAATATGTGAATGAAAAATATCTGAACCTAAGAGAAACCTTAAAACAAAATAAATTTCAAAAAAGGTTTACAAACATTTTATTCATGGTAAAAGTAATAAATTACTAATGACAGTAAACTTAAGAGTGAAGTGTTCGTCGCAGTTGCCAAATTCTGTGTGTGATGTCATCATTGTCGTCATCAATTTTAAGTAATATATTATTATTATGAATAATCTAAATAAATACAAGTAGCATGTTTACTATAAGTAGGATAATGCTCAAGGTGTTTCGTTTTGTACACGGGGTACCTTCGCATTCTTTCTTAATAATAAGTAAATGTTATATTTAATTAATAAATATACAATACTGTAGCGTAATCTTGTATGCGTATTTAACGCCGAATTGCATTCCAAGAAAAACACCATTAAATGATGACTTTTTGATTATTTTTGAGGGTGGGTACATTGCGATCAGTACTAAGACTGCAATTTGTAAGTGGGTCTTTATTTGAATCGCGAATTTTATAATTTACATGTAACGCATTTTAAGAATTTACAATAAAATCCAGTTTTTGTGGATCCCTTTCGAACAGTGGGGCCAAGTTTTTTATTATTATACACAAGAAACAGTTGCTGGTAGCGTTGTTTGAGTTTTCTTGGAACTATCCAAATATTCATTTAAAATTTATACCACACGACAGAGATTTAACATGGTACCTGCTTATTAAATGTTACAATAAAATACTATTTATTTGTGTAATGTTGTTTCTAGTTACGCTAATAAGTTGCAGTGACGTTTGTCATACGGTTTCAAATTTTATTAGTTCAGAGTGTTTGAAATTTAATTTCCTAAGTTGTGTTTAAGCAGTTGAATTATGAATTTTATCACTGTTTACATTTTTAAATATTTATACGGCATTCATAATGATACATTAATATACTTGTATTAAAATAAGTTGTTTTATTTCATTGTTATCCCTTCTGATTCCGTTTTTTTGTGTGTCGAAGATTTACGACCACACAGACGAGGATACATCGTCTTTTTTGTCTGTCCTAGACTGTTTGGTAGTAAAAGGTTATTAACCTCTGTTAATTTAGTGGAGAAGAAATGTGACGGCGGGGTTTGGTGTATGGCGTAATGACATCTAAAATTTCTCTGCCTGTTCCGTACAAACTTTATTGCTCAGTAGTCAATTTTGTTCTCACTAATACCGAATAGATACCTCGTAGATTAGCGACCTCTAATATCTGGTCCGCACAAAGCTTGGGCCTAGTCTGCCTTAAGACGAGCTCCCACTGCTGAAACGACTAATTTTTTTATGAAAGGTCACCATAGCTCAATGACATCAGCAATGCCAGCATAAGAGTATACCAAACTATGCTTTATTGTACACTACAGTGAATTAAATAACTTTTTTAGCAAAGCACAAAGGACGATCTTATTGCTAACACAAATACCTACCTACAAGGCCCGTATCGTGAGCTAGCACGGATACTATCATTCTTCATAATCTACCCGCGAAGCAGTCGTGGTCTGAAATGCACAATCGTTATACTTTACTATTGAAACTTCGATCTCATGATTCAAGGTCGGTGGCGACATTTCCGTTGTGATGGTTATGGGTTTCAGAATCCTGGTGAAGCGTGAGCTCATTTACTTACCAAGAAAATGAGAACTAACAACCACGCTTCACCTTCCAAGGAAAACTGATTTGAACCGCAAGCAGGATTCGTAACTATAGTACCATGACTAAAAGTCACTTAGCAGTGACGCAAACAAGCACTTTCACATTTCTGAATTAAACAATATCGAATCGATATCATAATAATATCATATACGTGAGATCCGTTACTAAACTACTAGATGCTGTGAGTTCGATTTCCACATCAGCCGAAAAATTGCGTGTCTAATAGGTTCTTTGCTCTGTGAACATGTACATATTTATATATCAGTTTCTAGTTCCCATAGTAAAGGGACTACTATATAGGGATCATATGATCGTGTGTCATTGGTTTCCGATTGTTTGTTGAACTTAGTACACATATCATTTAGGTACAGACGAAAAAGTAGTTAGTTATCTATCTATTTACCAAATAGTAATGTCTCTTGTAATTGTACTTTTACACTAGTTTTTAAGAGTATATAAAATTTAAAATTTAGATGGAATGCGTTTCTAAATAATTATTTCGTGAAGGTTGTCGTTACGTAAATATTTATCGTAACCTATCGAAATTCGATACGGGCGCGTATTTGTAATTGCCTGAACCAAAGTGTGTTTAGATCTTCACGGCACTAATATTTTGAATCACACCAGAGATAAAGAAGCCTTGCTCGAGTTACAAGCAGAATAATTTATAATCGGGGCGTTCCGGAGACGAATGACAAGGTAACGGAATAATTTCGCTTTCGTTTTAAGATTCTGTCCCAATGGAAATTTGACGGGTTACAATTCTCACACCCGACTATTGACCATTAGGCATATGTGAACCCTTAAAGATCACATTAAACATTTTTACCGGTGGGGGTGGTCATTCCAAAGCATTGGACTTTTTTATTGCATAGATGGTGTCCTACGTCCACGGCCCCACCTGGTGGTTATCGGAGTCCCTAAGCCAATATGAATGACGCCATCCATCTGAAGACACGAGGGTTGAAATCTCAATTGTAATATACAACGGTTCTCCCACCCACAAATCGGAAAGCTGCTTTTGAAATTAGGAGGGCTGTTGGTCAAAGGCCTAAGCAGGAGGCGACATTCACGTTATGATGTCCAGGGGCTCCTTGATTAGATTTGACTCATTGCCTTCTGATACAGGTGGCGTTCGACGAAGATTCCGACTTATCAAATAGATTCGTTGTAATAATAATACTATTTGGTTTAATTCTCATACATTTATTCGATAACTTTAAATCTAAAATTACAATAAACATTTAAGCAGTAATAATATATAATAATTGAACGCCACACACAAGTGAATTTTCGCTAAACGATATTACAAAAAAGATCTTATTCTTGAAATCTTAATATTATTATTTGGCAACATCATTAAATATAATGTTATTAGGCTAAAAATGTAAAAATGACAAAAAACGTAAATGCAGAGTTTTTAGAAATGTAGTAGGTATGCATCTTTTATCTAAGTTTAACAGATTCTTCACAATGTATGTCGTACTTTTACGCGGACTAATACGATTTGCGGTTTAGAGATTGTAAAGAAGTACTAGCGCTTTTTAAATTGTTAATTTGATATAAAAAAAGTCTCACTATATAAAATTAGTGCCGTACGCCAAACAATGCTAATACAAAATAGCAATGCAAAAAAATTTGTAATTATTTAACGGACGTAGCACCGAAAAATTTAAAATACCACACTAAACAGACGATTGAATTTACTCGGTAACTTTTTGAAAATTATTTTCCGAGCAGCCTAACCGGCAAGGTTATTTCTGACAATCAATTCTACAATATAAAACTATTTCACGCACCTATAATATCGAATATTGTGGTGAACAGAAATTACTGGGCCGGTAATCTTTTGCAAGTTCCGATATTTTCCTTATCTTTTTTGTTGCGGCTTTATTTTTGAAATTTATACTTAGAATTAATCTTTATTATTACATAGAAACGAACCCATACTTGCAGTTGAGTAGCCAAGCGTGGCCACTAGACCAGCGATAGGGCGATCCAATCATTTATTTTTTAATATCTGTAGAGCTACTCATATCACTTTACAGTATATATTTTGTAAGAATAAAGAAATAAGATTTTATCTTGACAAATTCCATATTAATTAGATTATAATACATTTATTATTTATGAATTATATTTGATGGTCTATTGACCATTCTATTTTTATAGTTTTTTTTTTCTAACACATTACTCAGAGCGATATATGAAGACAACTTATTCTATTTTATTTAACAAAAATGAAATAAGCACAGTGATTTATTTTCATTTTATATAATATTAATATTTTAATTGTGTAATGTAAATGAGATACTTAAATATACTTTTGCTATTTTAATAGAATAGTGACTAGCAAAAATATTGTATTAGGTACTTGATCTAAGTAAATAATTTTATCATATTTGAGATTAAATATATTTTTAGTTTTATAGTTTGATGAATATAATTGTTCTTTTAGAATCAGACGAAAACTATGTTTCATAGAATTGTTTTTATTTTATACCCTTGGTTTGTTTGTGGTGATCGTTTGAAAACAGCAATGCAGTTAAATGCACTTTCGTGTTTGATTTAAGAATATAATAGTCAGACTAGGTAAGTAGACTAGGTAGAATAGAAACAGAAAAATATATATTTTACACTGGTAACGATAATTGTAATTTATGGGTAGTTCATAAAAATATTGATATAAAATCAAAATTATAAAATGATTTTTGTGCAACAGTTACATTACTTGAAGTTTACACAAACATTACTTGACAACTATTTTATTTATTTTAAAGTGGCCCTTAAAGATTTTATCTCAATGTCGTTTTTACTCTTATCTTTTCCTAAATGTAGTGTGTAAAGAGTATCTTAAATGAATTAAATTTTTTTCAGTTACAACACATTAATATTAAGAACCGAAAATACATTTTGAAATTTTACAAGGAAATTAATGAAAAATATTATATATAATATTAAAATATTAATCACAAATGCGAGTACCTATGTATATGGCATGCGTTTTTTTTTTATTGCTTAGATGGGTGGACGATCTCACAGCCCACCTGGTGTTAAGTGGTTACTGGAGCCCATAGACATCTACAACGTAAATGCGCCACCCACCTTGAGATATCAGTTGTAAGATATCAGTTGTAAGATCTCAGTATAGTTACAATGGCTGCCCTACCCTTCAGACCGAAACGCATTACTGCTTCACGGCAGAAATGGGCAGGGCGGTGGTACCTACCCGCGCGGACTCACAAGAGGTCCTACCACCAGTAATGCGTGTGTGTTACCTTTAAATTAAGTAACACAGTCGTGATATTTGAGACAAATTTTCCGAAAGTCATAAACAGGTAGCAGTAGTACGACTAGTAACAATTAAATAAAATATGCTATAATTTTGAACTTTAAGACACATTGAGAATTATCACGTTCACCCTTCGTGGCAAAAGAGAGACTATATATTATTTGTAACAATAACATCGACGTAAATAGAAAATTTAATCGTTCCTACATTTTTATTAATAACACCTTAAATAACTATTTATTAATTTTTATTTATTTATAGGAAATGCTATATTTTTAATACTCTTCACGTAAAATATTTGAAAATATGAGATCTAAGTTTTAGAAAAAAACATTTATGCTTTATGGTTTTTTTTAAAAATAAAATTCGTTTAAATTTAACAAGTTTTCTAGAACGATTTTTATTTTAAATCGCTAGTTACTACTGCCATGTTGTTCGTTTTCATAGTTTGCATTCAGCTACAATCATTTAACACTTATAAATATAGACATACAAGTTAGAAGATAAGTCAAGCGGTAAAAATGCACCAAATTCATTTATTATTTTACACTAAAAAGAAAAAAGTTACTATTTGAGATCATAAGCCACAATGCAATAATCGAGCTGCCTGACTGCACAAGAAGTTGGGGAAAACTCATCCACTATTAGCTCATTAGAGTTGACCAAATATTTAACTGAATATTGGCAACATTTCATCTTTACCTTTCTTTTTAATATGTAGGGGAAATGAGTCGCTCTTTAATTCGAAACCATAGAATAGATTACACACAAGATCAATGTAATATATAATAGTATATTACGCACCGAGGGAGAAAAGTAGAACATTGACGCCCGCGAATTGTTGTCACCCGAGCCGAAAGCGAGGGTGACAATCACGGGTGGGGATGTTCTACTTTTCTCCCTACACGAGGGACAAAAGTACCCTATTCTCTCCCGGTGAGAAAAAAAGATATTAATTTGTTAATATAAGTGTCATGTTATTATGACATTTCTAAAGTTTATAATGTATAGTGTACAAACGCCGGGGTCAACGAACGTACAAACACTTAGCGACTACGGATTTTTGCTATATTTTTACTTTATATAGTGGATGAGTCACTTGTGTCGAATAAAATTGAAGTTATACCAACCCTTTCTAATATGGTGTCAAAAAGCTATGGTTGGTAATAATTTTGTAGCCATACATAAGTTTACTGCCATTTAGGCTTCTAAAGCAGCATAATACTTATTTTAATCATCACCAATGCATACCGTTACGTATCAATTTTACATTCTCATCAAACCAGTCCTCTTTCAATACCAATTTCATTGTATTTAATATCCCTAAAGGGTATTACTTGCCTTAGATACTCCGCTGAAGAAAACTTTTGTTCACAATCAGTATAGAAATTGTGGATATTACTGTTAGACAGAGACATGGTAAAATAAAAATATAACTATCCATACTAGACTAGACGTAAGTACATGGATCATTAAGCGATTTTCTTGGGCAAATATATACTGGGTGTTAGGAGACCGCTTCCGAAAACGAAAATGTTGTAACTACAAAGTTGTAAATTTTTCGGGACCCCCGTCGCGCCGGTGTGCGTGTAAAAGAAGCGGCGCGCCCGGGCGTTCGTTGACCCGAGCATCAGCTGTTTTTCATTTTGTGTTTCATTGCTGTTTTTTTTAGTAATGTATTTTTTATGAAAATATTGTTTCTATTAGCTGTACTAACATGATGGAGCGTAAATAATGCTAATAAAACGTTTTAAAAATATGTTTTTTTTTTTAAATCAGGATAAATTTTCTTTGTCTGTCCTATCATCAAAAGTGTTATTAGTACTATCATCTGTCTTCGTTTTCGGAAGCGGTCTCCTAACACCCAGTATTGAACACATTAATATAATATTGATCATATATTGCTGATTCTCTCATTTATGCTTTATCCATTTTCGAGTTCATCAAAAATATTGTTAATAAATATAAACTAGTCATTACACGGTGGTGTCTAGGTCAGATACGAAAAATTAATATTACTTCACATACCGGTCTTGTGCATTACCATAGTGTGAGCTTAGGCCTTGAAAAACTGCGGGAACTCGTTGGAAATAGCCCTGACCAGAGCTTGATCGTCTCGACTGCATTCACCTTCTTCGCAGAATATACGAGCGAAACAACGCAGCAGGTCGTCTCGGCGATGCAGGTGAGAACCGTAGTCAGTGTTTCGAATAACACCTTGGAGTATCTTCAAGTATTGCTGGCGACGCTGTAATTCAAATAGATATACAAGATTAGATGCAAAATGAATATCGTGATCGTTGTTTTTGATAACAAATCGAGAGAGGACAGAGTGAGAGAGAACATAATTTATTGTACACCAAAACACAATTAACATCAGAAAACAGACAACAAGTAGATACGTTTTTTTTTGTTATTACTTAGATGGTTAGACGAGCTCACAGCCCACCTGGTGTTAAGTGGTTACTGGAGTCCATAGACATCTACGACGTAAATACGCCACCCATCAATATAAGTTCTAAGATCTCAGTATAGTTACAACGGCTGGCCCACCCTTCAAACTGAAACGAAGAGGCAGAAATAGACAGGGCGGTGGTACCTACCCGCGCGGACTCACAAGAGGTCCTACCACCAGTAAAAACGTTTGTACAATAGAGGGTCTTATCGCTAAAAGCGACCTCTTCCAGACAACCGTTTAATTACCCGAAACTCTGGACAGATAAAGATATAGCAGGTATGTTGCGGTGTACTATTAACAACACATTATTAAAGAAAATACATACATACAATAAATATATATATATACCGTTAAACACAATATGAAATCAGTAAGGATAAAGCATAAACAAGCAAACAACACTAAGCAGATAGGTAATGTTCCTTCACCATTCGAGATATTTCTTTTCAAAAATTCAAATATAAAACTAGTTAGTGTCTTACCGTATCACCAGGCGAGAGATCGGCCAGTTGTCTCACAACTATATCTATGGCGACCTTTACGTCATTAGTATAAAAGTGGTCTGCGGTTTTTTTACGACTAAACAAGTCAATCACCAGTTTGAGAACAGAATGAGTAGGTGCCGGCTCGTGTTCAAAAATACGCACCGGATCTTCTGTGAATGTAAAAAAGACAACATTTAGAATATACTAGCGACCCGCCCTCGCTTCGCTTCGGAAACATTAAATTTTATTATCAATAGGCGAAGCCCGCCATATTGCGCGCGGTACGACAATAAGTGCGGGTGACGCCGCGGGGCGAAGCTAGTCTAAAAAAAGTAGCCTAAGTTACTCCTTATATCATCAGCTACCTATTAGTGAAAGTCTCATCAAAACCGGTCCAGCCGTTCCAGAGATTAGCCGGAACAAACAGACAGACAGACAGACAAAAAATTGTGAAAAAGGTTATTTTGGCGTATGTACCGTATATATATTCATATGCATGTAGTAAAAACCGGTTATTTCAATATTACAAACAGACAGTCCAATTTTATTTATATGTATAGATGACAGCGAAAAAATATCTTATTGTTACGCGGATAAGAGTAACGCCATCTATCGTCGAATAGCAGAAGCGAATATCAAAAATAAAAAATAGAGAGCGCATTAGAAGTGCAACGCCATCTATTATCAAATAGCGGAAACACATATCGAAATGACTGGCCTTATCGAGAATATTCTCGATAATTCTAGGGATGTCGTATCGACTATAAAAGCGTTGCAGAGATGACACGAAGGCAGTTAGTAATCGGATCTACTCGACGCGAAACAGCGAACAGATCACCTGAAGCGAAGCGGAAGAAGTGAATTACGACTTGTAAAGTGTTCTGAAAGCGTTCAAGTGTTTAATAGTTTTAAATTATCCCGAATCCCAGCGCGTAACATACGATTAACAAAGTATACACTATTATGCAGGATGAGATGTATTCTTTTTATACATATACATAATTCATTTGTTTCTTTTTATTTTATATTGAATTAAACCACTTTACCTTCACGATTGAGTAACAAGAGCACTTTCTCACAGAATGTTTTGGCCATGTCCCTTGTTTCCAATGCATTCAGCAATATATTGTCGAAGGGGTTCTCAAACTGCAAGTTGTAGGCCAAAAGGAGAGTTGAAAACAAATCAGGTATCTGTTCATCGACATCGGTTTCCGGTGGATCTTCAAGCAACTCCAGCAAAAATTGTGCAAATTCAAGGCCGAGCTGCTCGAAATGTGTGACCGGAAGTTTGTCTCCCATAGATAGAACCATGGAGAGTAGCAGAGCGGAGTGAGAGAGACGGCTGACGGCCCTAGGGTTGTCGCGCATATCTCGAGCAATCTCCGCCGGTAACGACGACAGCGCCAATGTTGCTAGGGCTGTACGCTCTAGGCCGCACATTATACCAAATGCCTGAAAAAGCGTATGACCATTAAGTGAATATTCAAGTTTTCTTTATCTTAACCAGGAGGGCGCTCTTAATTATTCGTGATAAAATATTTTTAGGTTCGAATATACTTAACAAATCTTATCCAAACTAAATCGGTTTCTAAGCAGTGTGCTTAGTGCGAGTTTTTTAACGTTTAAGTGTAAAGTTAAAGCTAAAGTTAACTCAAATTTGTATGGAGTTGGAACGTTTGCCTACGTTTGGCGCTAGGGGTGCTGTTCCAACTGCATTCAAATTTGAGTTAACTTTTACGATATCGAGAACGTTAAAAAACTCGCACTAAGCACACAGGAGCAAATTCAAGCAAAGCCAAAATAGATATAATCTGTTTTGTTGGAAAAAGTAATCATACAACATTGATGCAAAAAATCCTACAGCAGAAATTGAGCATCTCCACCTTATTTTTATTTGAAGTTGTTTAAAAAGTAGGAAGTAAATTCGGAATGCCTCCAAAACTACGTAAAAAAATAATTTTTGACTTTACATAGTCAGTTACAAGCATTTTTCAATATTGGAATACAGTTTTACTACTTAGGTCTTGCTTATTCCCAATAAATTGAAACCCTAACGTACTATGTAAATTTAACACTGGTTTAAAATGAATATTTAAATGAATTATGACTGGAATTAAGCCAAGATCTTTTACTGAGCACCATCTAAAATTGTCTTATATTTATAAAAATATGATATTCTTTTTTAAGCTTCTGTATTTTTTAAAGATAAGTATTGTGCTATTTTTCTTCCTTTTAACATCCTCAGACATACATATCTCAGTGTAACTATGTAATACCCATACTATTATACATCATACAATGATGATTAATGGAGAAATTTCTAGGAGACAACACAACAAGACTGCAATTGTCCTATTATTTGTAATGAATGTTATTGTTTTTCTGTTATCATAATGTGTATTTAATGGTCAAGTTTACATTAGAAGAATCACAAAGCATATCATTGGTTACCTGTAACAGTAGCTGACGTAGGGGCCACCGAGTTTCCATCTGATAATACTGTACCAAAGTTGTCACATAAACATATCGATGACTGCTCAACACATGTTGGGATATGTTGACATCAGCATTTGACTGAAACGACATATTTTATTATTACGTAAAGTAGTATTTAAGACTCATCCATATGCAACTTAATATGTCATAAGCAATAATGCAGGTAATTTCGCTTGGAACTATTAAGCAACCAATATACTTTACTCATTGACAGCAAACAATTGTGTAATAAAACAAAAATAATTAGACATAAAAATAAATAATATTAAATGGCTACAAAAATATATTCAGGCAATTAGTTACTAGGTATTCAATAAGCAAAATATGTAACTTCAAACAGCTAGCAGTAAAGTTATTAAGTAGAGAAGTTAGGCTCAGGGACAAGATGTTTTAGAGTTTCTCTAACTACTGAATATGAGATGGGGGGAGTTACTGGTTTACAAAACAAAAAGTTAATTTTATTCATGAGCTTACCATAACAGAGATCAGCTCAAGCAATTGTGTTTGTATGTCATGTGAGTCATCATGCAATGCCCAGCCTCTTTGTTGAGCATCATTAGCTGCTTTGGAAAGTGCATTCAGTGCAGTCATCATCCTCAATGCATCAGGAGCAGCATCAATAGCATTCTTCGGACAGGTTATATTACTATTGGCCTCACGAAGTAATGCATCTATAATGGATCTTGCAGCACCACCAGGTAGGAACTCCTGAAAATACAAAGGATTATGTTTTAATTTACTATTGAGACTTAAAACTCATGTTTTAAGGGACGGTGTTAGCATTTACGTTGTTAATGGCTTATGGGCTCCAGTAACCACTTTACAATGTTCATCAGTACAAACAAAAAGATATTTAGTGTTTGAGGTTGAATAATTTGTTTACTTTGCTCTAAATTTGAGTATTTGGGCTTAGATTTTCTGAATCGTAGTATGTATTGTTCCTGTGTTTTATGTTATCTGAAGTATATTGTGAACAAGTGTCAACTGGTCATTAAATTAGGTTGATACCACAATAGTATTAACTTAATTTTTTATTTATATAATTGTAGTATGTATTTTTTGGACAGCAACAGAACATAATAGAATAAAATTATACATGTCAAAAGCTGTAACTGTAAGCTTCTTTTAAAAGAGTAATAAAAACTCACTCTTAGCGAAATGAGAACAGTTTCAACAGCAACCTTTGACATTTCATGACTAAGCTGAGTCTCTTTCCGCACAGCTTGAACAATTTCATATATTGCATTTGGCTTAATACTCTCACTGCTATCTTGGCTATCATCCTGGTTATCAGTGTCAAAAGAGTGCTGCTTGATGTTTTTGAGATCACATTTACTCCTTGTATCATCTATAATTGTAACGTCATGTTGAAAAATATTCCATATAATTACTTCAGCAGAAATAAAATCTTCAAATGAGGCAAAAAGAATATTATTCAAGAATGGTCGTTGCCATTACTTATTGTATAAGAATTTCAAATTTAACATGAATTCAAATCAATGTTTTTAAGTTTAAGTTTAATCATGTCTACAACTAGGGAAAACTGAAGTTTTTTTTTTAATGCAGCTACGATGTATAAAAAAGTACTGTACCATTTTCATCATTGGTGCTTGATGATTTTGGTGGTGAATCCCTCTCTTCGCTGATCTGCTGTTGAGACACAACTGGCCTAAGATCAAATGAAGGCGACACTCCATTTGGAGGAGTGCTGTCATCTAGCCTTGGTGGAGGCTTTGGTGCTTGCTGTTTTTTAGAATGTGGCTTCACAAACATCTGCACTTGTTTTTTTCTTTCAATCATTTTAATCAATAGGTCCTGCTTTTGAGAGTGCGAACTGCTTTCGTTTAAATTTTTAATACAATCGCTCAAAAAAGCCAACAAATACTCCGCCTCTACCTATACACAAAGTCAGCTATGAGGTAAGTGCGCGAAATATTCTGTAAATTGTCATAACCAGTTTAATCACTTACCTTGACTGTAGCTACATAATTAGAGGGCACAAAGCCGACCTGACCTTTCCTATTAACAACATGCCACCAGTTTCGTTGTTTAGTGTTGCTCTGTTGCAAATAAAAATATTCACCTTCCGAAAAACTTAACGTTTTTGCCAATGTTGCTTCAAAATCAAATAAGGCTTTGAGCATTTCGAAATCATCTGAAAATTATCAAGCGCGTAAAACTAAGCCGGTTGTTATGAATTAAAATATTTGTTTGTTATTTTTCACATTTACCGTTTTGTGTATCTCCCATGATTGAAAATGAAATGAGTACTTAAATTTCATTTGTTATTTCCGTAACATGAGTTTAAAGACACGGTATTAAACTAATTGTTTATTTTTACTATTTATTGTTTCCTTGAATCGGCAACTGCGGGTGCAATTTAAATCAATTTTTTGTTTTGACATTGAGCTTACTTAAATGTCAAAGTTTTCTTAATGGATCAAGTTCTATAGGCAAAAGGCTTTCGCTCCAAAAGGTTTCCTCTGTATTTTTAGTGCTTATTTAAGACATAGAAAGTTAAAAGAATTTAATCTGCGCACAAGTATTAAAACCACAAGAAGTACACGAGCACCACCTTTTTTCAGATATAGATACTTATGAAAATTAGTGACAATGATTGTAGTCTACTGCTTAAGATAAATCTTAGTTTTAATAAAATAATAGTTTTAAATTAAAATTCAAATACCTTGTTGATAAAATCAATATTTATGATTTTATGATAGAGCACTGTAAAGTTTTATTTTTGATTTTTTTATTGTTTAGACGGGTCGACGAGCTCTCGGCCCAATTGGTGCTAAGTGGTTACCGAAGCCAATCGACATCTACCTACAATGTAAATGCCACCACCGATCTTGAGATATGGGTTCTAACGTCTCAGTATAGTCACAACGGCTGCCCCACCCTTCAAACCGAAACGCAATACTGATTCACGGTAGAAATAGACAGGGTGGTGGTATCTATCCGTGCGGACTTACAAGAGGTCCTATCACCAGTAATTTCGCAAATTATAATTTTGCGGGTTTGATTTTTATTACACGATGTTATTCCGTCACCGTGAAAGTCAATTGTGAGCATTTGTTAAGTACGTATTTCATTAGAAAAATTGGTAGCTTCCTGCGGGATTCGAACACCGTTGCATCACTTTAAACGAATATACCGGACGTCTGAATCTTTAGGCCATGACGACTTTAAAAAGTTTATGAGGATAATTTGAATCAGTTCATGAGAAATTTTTTTTGTGGGGATTTTCTCAAATTGTTGAAAAATTGTAATCGATTGAGGTTACCAGGGTCACGGCTATCTATGAATGAGATGTGTATAACCGTTTTTCTGCAGTTCTGTTCTTTTTTGTTTATTTTTTATGTTTTTATAGTTCCTGTATGGAACTGGATAACAGTTGAGTCGCTGTCGGTAAGTAGCTGTTGACCAGTTCTGGTAATCTTAAAATGTTTGCCGAATGAAATAATAGTAAACAACGATTGATCATCATCTCAAACTCTTCACAATAGACATCTGCTACCAACAATACACTAACTTTCAATAAAGTAATAGATGAAACTATGCTAAAAAAAAATAACAAAACTTTTCTGTGGTAGGGAGCGGCTTGGCTCTGCCCCTGGCATTGCTGAAGTCCATGGGTGATGATAATCACTCACCATTAGGTGAGCCGTATGTTCGTGTGCCTACAAGGGCAATGAAAAAAAAAAAAACAATTTTTACTGTGGGTGAGCTTCGCTTGAAAGCATGTATTCGGAAACGGTTCGGTCATATTGCATTTCAAAACGAGTATCGTGGTATATCTACTTTTCGTCACAATTCGGTCCAATTCGTATAAATCACATAACATCTTATGCGATGTAACTTCTGGAGCTCACTTTGTAAACATATACAGAAGTCCTTAGCAAACTTATGTAACAAATACCAAACGCTACTTTACCATAAAAAATAATTTAGTTACACAAAAAATAAAAAGAAATATATTTTTTTGTTTGTATTCTGCGCTGGTTTAGCTTCAAACGTAGATACTTATATTATTTTACTTTTAAGTGCTTAATACAAATATTGTATTCGGGATTATGATCCGTAGCCCATTATTTTGATCGTGAGGTAAATACCCGTACATATCAGAGGTTAAATATATGTCTCATTTGCAAGATATCAAAGAGACCTATGATCTTCATGAACTAAAAGTGCAATGACGTAAGGCACAAAATCTTCAACAATAAACATTGATTACTAATGAAACGCTTATTTATTCGCTTAATATTATACTAAAAACATCGAATTTTTGAAATTACTCAGCGCCATCTTTGATGTCCTTTGATGTAGGTACTATGTCGGAAACCTTCCTTGACTGTCCCATGTTTCATGACATCAGATAAATAGTTAGGGAAGGAATAGAGAACAAATATGCAAACATTATTTTGGCTTATAAATGTTAAGTAAATTTATAAATATACATTTGTAGTAAGTGTTTATAAGGTGTTTCTATTAGATACACTTATGTATCTCCGCAGAAGCCCTATTTTTGAAAAGCTAGTAACAATCCGTGTAAGCATTAATTGGAACGTATGATACCTACATCGCGGCAGAAATGTAGAGATAGCAAAAACAGATTTTTTTTGACAAAAACCTGAATCTCACTCACTTACTCATTCAGAATTTAAAACTTGCATATTTACAAGTATTTACCAAATGAGAATAAAATTATTTATTTACAATACAATCGAGACTTACACTAATGTCCATATGGCTCAATGTGAGTTGCAGCATTCACGTATGTGATCACGTGATGTCTGTGGACTCCGGTAACCACTTAAATGAGTCGTAAATTTTGTTTACCTATCTGTGAAAAAAACATTTGCTTGTACAATTACATGTTCTGAACACTAGCTATCGGATCGTCTGCGTCGGTCTACTCTAGCAATGATGCTCGCTCGGTGGAAGATCTACTCTTTTTTGCCTATTCCTCTATTACCTACGAGCACGACAAAACAAATTTAGTCTTTACACGAAAATAGTCTTTAAATTCACGCCATCAGCACATCTTTAACATTACCTAATGCTGCTCCCGTACTTACATAATTCAACACAAGCTATCAACAGCAGTCGTTCCACAACAAAGTGGCATCGTAGTCTTAAGGGACCATTAGTCGTCGATTCATCATGCCCCCTGGTTCGACGGCATTCTTACTTCATCATCAGGCCAGCACAGCCCTAGCAGCCCACGACTGAATCTTCAGCATTCGGAATTTCACATCGCCGATACGGTAGCTCTGCACCACATCGACTATTCTCGGCACTGACGCAGCATTCAAGCACAGTTTCGACTCACGGCAGATTTGGAGCAACAGTGGAAAAACGGTAACACGATCTCCACACTCAGATGGGAGTGATGTAAGATGTAGTGATACAGCTATCATAGAACATCTTTGAATCGCGTTAACGACATTTTAAAGGTAATCTTTGTATACGAGTTTCATACAATAACATTCGGACAGTAGGTAGAACTATCTATAAAGAAATGATACCTCCTCAGTGGAAATCATCCCTTTGCCTATCCCAAAGCACCACAGTAGGTATACATACAGTATTTATTGTGTGTAATTGATTTTTTCAATTTTATTTTTCTTCATTACTGATACATATATTGAAAGTTTTGGTCTAATTTAATAGTTCTATCTCTATTTATATTATTGTTACCTAGTACAGTGCAATGTACCTGCCGCATTTTTCTAGAATTTCCCTATGTGCAAAATGATGTACCAGAACAGAGTGCTTTTATCGATAAGATCGTCCATTGTAGAAATTATCCAGCTTATTTACTAACATTCTTGTTAGGCATTAAAGTATAATCTTTCTCTCATAATTTATATGAAACATTGTAATATCTACGTATTGATTGTATTAGGTACGATAATGCAACAGTAATGAGGAAACAAATCATGAAAAATGTTTTGAGATGAATCTTTGTCATAATAAGCCAGGACTTCCCCTTATCAATCGTAATAATTAATATCGCTAAAGCGGAGGGAAGTACCAAGACTTTCCTCAAGACTGTGTATAAATACCGATCATTGTGATAGTTACTCACATTACCGGTGTTCAATCGATACAATCAACATGTACAAGTTTTTAGTATTCAGTTCAGTTCTGGTGTTGTTCTTTGCTCAGGCTTCGTGCCAGAGGTTCATCCAGCCGACCTACAGGCCACCGCCAACACAGCGCCCGATAACACGTACAGTGCGACAAGCTGGCCAGGAACCGCTATGGCTGTATCAAGGTGACAATGTTCCTCGTGCGCCAAGTACCGCAGACCATCCGATTCTTCCTTCGAAAATCGACGACGTGCAGCTCGATCCAAACCGAAGGTATGTTCGCAGTGTCACTAATCCAGAAAATAACGAGGCATCCATTGAACATTCACATCATACAGTTGATACTGGACTTGACCAGCCGATCGAGAGCCACCGTAACACAAGGGACCTGCGGTTTTTGTACCCTCGAGGGAAACTGCCTGTTCCAACGCCTCCTCCGTTTAACCCCAAGCCAATATATATTGATATGGGAAACCGTTACCGACGACATGCGTCGGATGATCAAGAAGAATTGCGGCAATATAATGAGCACTTTCTGATTCCGAGGGATATTTTCCAAGAATAGGGAAAGTTCCAGAAACAAAAGATTTCGGAGTGCACTCCTATATTCATTGAATCGTAATTACTTAAGTTTAAGTGATATTTTTAATAGTTCTGCATAAAAATACAAAGTATTTTAAAGTGGCCGTTTCAATTCAAATAATGTAAGTACTCGTACGTATTGTTTACCATGATAATATCAAATTAAATAAATCTCAACCAATATTGAACTTATGTTTTGTTTATTTGCTTTGCAACAAATTTCTCTCACCTGTTGTAAAAAATATTTTATAATTGTGCTGTGTATTTAAAGTGTGTAATTAAAAGAAATCATTTTGAATAATTGTTGTTTCTGTTTTTCTTTTCGCCAACACTATACTGTAGTGTTATACCACGAGTACATGTCACTCCCACTGCTGAGACGATTCTAATGATACCTCATATAATTGGAATCCTTCAACATGTTTAGACTCCAGTAGTGAATGCATTCGCGAAGCAGATTGGTGGTAGGACCTCTTGTGATGGTGTTAGGACCTCTTGCAAGTCCGCGCGGGTAGGTACCACCACCCTGTCTATTTCTGCTGTGAAGCAGTAATGCATTTCGGTTTGAAGGGTGGGGTAGCCGCTGTAACTATACTTGAGACCTTAGAACTTATATCTCAAGGTGGGTGGCGCATTTACGTCGTAGATGTCTATGGGCTCCAGTAACCACTTCACACCAGGTCGTTT